TAATCCAACAACCCGCAACAACTCTATAACCCACAATAACCTAACATGGCCCAACAACCCCATCAAATCTCAACAACTCCCAAGAACCCTATGAAACTCAGCTACCCAACATCTCCCAACAACCCCAAACAACCCTATAACCCAATAACCCCAAACAACTCCCAACAGCCCAACATCTCCCAAACATTCTAAAACAACTTTGAACAATTGAACAACTCTCAACAACCCCTAACAACCCTACAACCCCAAACAACCCTATAACCCCAAACAACCCCCAACAACCCCTAACAACTCCCAAACATTCTAAAACAACTTCTAAGAACCCAGCAACTTCCAACAACCCCAAACAAGTCTATAATGCCAAACAACCCCCAACAAATCTCAACAACCGCCAACAATCCCTAACAACTCCCAAACATTCTAAAACAACTTCTAACAATCCAACAACCCCAACAACCCAACAACTCTCAACAACCCCCAACAAGCCTATAACCCAACAACCCCCAAAACTCCCAACAACTCCTGAACAATCTAAAACAACTTCCAACAATCGATCAACCCCAACAAATCCCAACAACTCCTAACAACCCCCAACAATCCCTAACAACCCCCAAACATTCTAAAACAACTTCTAACAATCGAACAACCCGACGACACCCAACAGCCCCCATCAACCCAGCAACTCCTAAACAATCTAAAACAACTTCCAACAAATCGAACAACCCCACCAAATCCAAACAAGTCACAATGACTCAACAAGGACGGAATGTTGCATGCATGTGTGCGGAGACCTAAGCCATAAGCATCACGTCAGAAATAAATAAGATCCACTAGATACAGTAAGTGTCGCTGACATAACTACTATTGTGATCTTGCATTGATATCAAAGTGCTGCATTTAAAATCATTTGCCCACCACTGACCTTTCATGAATAATTACAGCACTATTTACAGCTAAAGAAAGAATGAAAGAGTTAAATCATAATGAACAAATATTAAAGAATGTGAAAGACCACCTATTGTGCTTGTGTCTGCTACATAGTTATAATCAGTGACTGCTGTGGATCATTTTTTCACATTTGAAATCGCAGAAATTGTTAGAAAACTGTGGTACCCAAGGGGAGCTGACATCGCTGCTAACGTCATCACAACAAAGTTTTGGCAACCCTGATGACAGCTGATGATCACACTAGTGGATTTTTTATTTATTTTTTTCATATGCACCAAAATGACTTTGCGATGCTGCCGAATCCTATGTGTATTACAGATTAAGAGAATTAAATTTGGAGAACAAAGTAAGTACAGAGCATTGGACGTTTACCTATAGCGGTGAAAACAGGGGCTGATCAGCATTATGAAAATGAAAATAAGCATTTAAAGATTGCTCAGACATGCATAAATCACTCTAAACACAACTTTGGGTGAGTAAATGGTGAGGGGAAACATCTATAACATAACTAAAAGCTTTCAAAAGGCCAATTAAGGTGTAGTTATTATGTAATGTTACCAATTTACCTTGCAACCCAATGAACAAAACATTATCCTTCACCGGAAGAAATAGAGTCATCGTAAACAGACAATCAATACATCTACACATGGTTTATATAAAACAAGGGACTCAAGTATAAATGGGAACATGAGGGAAAACAAGAAATGCGAATTATATAAACCTTGACAAAGACTTATAAGCACATAGATTAGCACAACATAATGCTACACAGGCCAACACATGCATTATTTTTATGGCTCTGCTTTAAGGCAATATTGTTTTCATCCTCTAACCTGTTTTATTGCAGTGCCAGGGGCTTTTTCAAAACATCCGCCTGATTGTATTTTCAACGCGTTTGCAAATGAGTAACGCAAACCCATCTTAAGTGATTGCAATCCTGAAAGATGACGGTGCTGCTAACTACTGCTTTGAGTCTTGGGTGTGATAGAATTGATTTAAAGAAAAAAATAAAACATGTACTAACAGAAACAGCATTCGGGGGGAAAAAAAATAATGAAAAACCTGGCCTGGCTGTGTTCATGTGTGATTATACTGTGAATGCAACCAGGGAGCTATCCGTGGTCCTGAACCTACAGCCGAATGCCAGAGGTCTGCGTCAGTGCTGCATTCCTTATGAAAGAGTATCGACTTTTTGTAATAGGAAGTGTGACCACAGAGTTCACCCGGCAACAGATCGGCCTGAACCAAGAAGAAGAAAAAAAAGGCTTTAGGGGTTGAAATGTCATGTGAACAGTTGGGTTCAACCAGTGAACACCTCAGGGGTGATATCGACTCCCTTCAATGCTTTTAAAGGCCAAGGGTTGGTTCAGACGGGGAGCTCTGCAGTTATTCTCCCCGGCGGAGCAGAGCGGACACAGGAGAGGTGGCAGATTTGTAAGGGAAAAAAGTGAATCAAATCGGACCAAGGAAAGGTGTTGAGAGTGACTCTGAAAGCGCAGAGCCAGACACAGGCCTAATAGAGATAGAAGCCAAGTTATTAGCTGCACTGCTACATGTCAGACTCTACATTTTTCAGTTCACTCCAGTGGTCCATGTCGATAAATAAATCGTATACCAGAAGTTTAAAAGACAAGTAGAACAAAACCTTTTCCAGACAGGGTATTTTAAAGGTAAGGGCAGTTTCACTGCATATTTGCTAGCACGAAAAGACACCAAATACTGGGTCCAACCAGGTTCACTTAGGTCTTTTATTTTGAAAAGGCCTTCTGTATTACAGTATGTCTTTTTGGCTTGAAATACATTTAGACCCCTGTAAAATTACATTTCAGTTTGACTCTGTATCTGTTGCCCTCAAGTGTGGGGATGGAACATGCTAAAACTGGCAACAGTGGTTTAGTGGTTAAAACGTTCAGACAAGTTCTGTCTTTGTCTTTAATTAGGACACTTCACCCATCTTACCTGATGTGGTGTTTGAGTAAACAGTGATGATTGGAGCTGTTGAGGGACAAGATGACAGCCTAGCTTCAGTAATCTGCCCCATAGCAGCTGTGGCTACAGAAGTAGTTTACGACCATAGAGTGTGGAGTGAATAGATGAACACAGTGCAGTGCTCTGAGAGGCTCTGACAAGCCTGAAAAGTGCATTACAAGTGCAACACATTATATTATCATTAATTGAAATGGACATTTAATTAATTGCCATCTCTTAGCAACATGAAGACAAGAGCTGACATTGCAGCAGTACTTCTTCATCTACAGTGTTGAAACAACATTTTCATCCTCAAGGAAAGCAATGGGTTATTCAAGTTATTCAAACTCAAATGAAACAATACTAAGAAGGATTTTGAAGAGCACCTTTGATACTAACCTGGATCATACAGGTTGAGGCGTGTAGCACATGAATTGAGTTATTTGAGAACTCATGTAGATAGCTAGAATCCATCTTTCTGCGCAAGGTTACTTTATAACATGGACAGAAATGTATTTAGCAGAATGTGATGTCTTTGAGTGAACTCCATATTTCCTTTTCAGGCAGTAAAGGTAAAGGTGGACACACAGACGAGACACATAAAGGCCAGTGACCTGGACCAGCAGTTTGATTGAAGTAATAACTTGGCTCTACAGGAAATCTTTGATTCTCATATGCATTTCTTACATTACCTGGAGAACATTTGAAGCGTCCTTGATTTAAACTCTGATGGCTGTCATCTCAACAAAAGACAGACACTTAGGCTTTTAAATGTGTCCCGTCTGTCTGGAGCTCCACTGCGCGCCGTGCACCGCCATTAGCTTGTGTACCCATCTGCATTAGCATTTCCTTAATGAAAAAGAGCCTGTGTGAAAATGCACTTTATTGTACTGTACAGTTCTCGTCTGTGGTGAGACACTGTCACAACACTCTCAGTTTGACAGGAGTTAATGCATTTTTACCACACAATCAAATGTATTATTAAGGATTGCTATTATAAAAAGTAAATCACTATATATACAAAATACTGACAGCATTCACCCAAACTCCAGAGCCACTTTTCATCAAACACTTTCCAAATAAACCAACTTTTTTCGAGATAAAAATCAGCCACACTATGAAATAATTAAGCAATAATACAATTCTCAAAAAATGTGCATATTTACTCAACCCTGAACTGGAATTTTACTTGAGATGATCCGTTGTGTGTCTCATCCATTTTGGGGCAGTACAATGTTTTTCTGGTGAGCTGACTTATAACTTCTAGTTTCACATGAACTGCTCTTTTATTTGTATGTAAAGTGAGTTTGCTGGTGTGTTCAGTTTGCTTTTGTGTGATTGTTGCTGCTTTTTTCTGTTTAACATCAGTCTGCCCAGAGAAAGAAGATGGAAATTAACTACGCTGGCTACAATCTGAAAGGGTTCATATTAGGTTAGTTTCTGGTCTATGTTGTAATATTGTTTCCTCATCAAATACATATCTGGAGTTGTGTTTTGCTGATAAGGTAACAATATTTTAAAGCTTTAAAGAGTCAATTTTGTGTAATATAAGACCTTTAACATGTGCTATCCTTTTACAAATAAATACAATTTGACTTGACATCGTGTTGTAATGACTTTCCTACACTAGTCTAGACTCAGAACCCAAAATAAGAAAGTGCTAATTGATCATTTCATAACATAATAATTAGTACATTTTTGATCCATCCAAATAAAGGTCAAATGTAGTGTTTAGCGCTCGCCACTTGTTGCAACGTCAGACTCGCATCTCTCCGGCAGCTTCGGGAGGACAGTAGAGGAAAGGAGGGGAGAGGGAGGAGAATAGGGGGTACTTCGTCACATCCTCTGTCCATATATGGGCATGAAGTTTTACACGCAGCGGGGAATCCTCTCACTGGAGCTGATGAATGGGGAGGAGGGCCGAGGGAGCTGCCAAAGTGTATATAAGGAGAGGAAAGGGAAGTCGCTCATGTGAAATCCACTGCAAGCAAAAACCTACCTACAGAGGAGAGGAGCGAGCCATCAAGCGAAAGGAATACCAACATCACTCTCGTTTTTTACAACCTTCTGGATCATTTGTTTAAAAAATACCATCAAAGGGAGTTGAAATAAATACTAGCCTTCGCCATTTGCGCCACATCTTCCGCTTTCTACCTCTTTGTACGATTTCTGTGGAGAAACGGACTTCTTCTAAGTGCAGCACTATGTTGAATAATATGGATTTGAACGCAAAAGATTCATTCTACCCTCAGTTTGACAATAGTTCTTCCTTGGGGATGGAGAGCAGCGCGCGCAAAGATAAGCAGGAGGTGTTCGTCGACGCAGAGCGAGGGGTACCTGCCCAGTTTGGCCACGGTGAGTACGCAGCTCTCCAATGGATTTAAACATGATTTTAGGAATGGTTTGATGTGACATTAAGATGAAGTGAATACGTTTGTGGCGGTTTCTACTACTGCGCACTTTGAGACGTGTTGCCAAGCAGTTTAGTGTGCAAATTACGCACGAGTGTTTATGTAACGCTTTTGGCGATATCTGCGCTGGTTTCTGAAGAGTGTATAGGTATTTTGCACATAATATTGAAGTCGAACGTTGAAATGCGCTCATAATGATCCCAAATCTGGTTATGCAAATTACAATTGCAGGGACAATATGTTAAAACGTTTGAGGTGGTGTTTCCCCTGCTAGAAACACTGAAGACCTTAAAATACAAAACAGTCGTGATGACAAAGTTTTTTTTCTATTGTTTTATCTTCAACAGAAGGAGCCCCAGCCACTCTTAAAACTGAAGCTTCCAACTCAGAGTTTGCCTTCAACCCGTGCGAGTGCCCCAAAGAGAGCTACCCCCCCTCCTCGCTCGCCTACTCTGGTAGTTTCTATGTGGAGGCATCTCAGGGGGCGCCGTGCAGCACCGAGACCTTGCTCAACATGATCACAGAGATCGTGGGCATCTCCACCATGCCCCTGACAGACATGCAGCAAACCACCGGCAGCTCCGTGGAAACCAGCAGCGCCACATTTGGGGATCTGAGCGCCAAGAGACACATTTTCACCTGTTCTCCCTCCACGTACACGCAAGAGCAGACGTGCCCCAGTTATACAGAAGAAAAGAAGTCAGAGCCAAAGTCCGAGGCCGCGTCCTTCCCCGTGGTGGTGAAAAACGAGTTCGAGAGCAGCTGTTATGAATGGGGCGCGTTCAGCAGTAAATCCGACTGTCTCGAGAGCACATTCCAGACCGAAACCTTCCCCATGTCCAGTGACTTCCCGCCCGAGCAGCACGTAGACGTCAAGGAACTTTTGGACACGTTCCCCTCCATGTGCCCGAACCCGGACATGGAGTTCAAAGTGGAGGGAGGAATTAAGCAGGAGCCGTGTTTCAATGACACTTGCTCCAGCTACTCGAGCCCGCTGTACAACAGCTACCTGCCGCCTATGGGCCTGTCCTCCAGCCAACCCCCATCAGAACCCCTTTACTCACCGCCAACGCTGCCCTCTACCATTGACTCTATTCTATACTCTTCCCTGTTGCCAGATTCTTTTGCCCAAAGTTACAACTCACGCACTACCAAGACCCCGCGCGCGAGAAAGGCCCCCTCCACATCCCACGGCCCTGCCAAAGAGAAACCCTTCACGTGCCCGATGGAGAGTTGTGACCGGCGCTTTTCGCGCTCGGACGAGCTTAACCGCCATATCCGCATCCACACGGGACACAAGCCATTCCAGTGCCGCATCTGCCTGCGCAGCTTCAGCCGAAGTGACCACCTCACAACCCACACCAGGACTCACACCGGGGAGAAGCCTTTCTCCTGCGACGTCTGCGGCAAACGCTTTGCGCGCAGTGACGAGAGGAAACGGCACGGACGCGTCCACCTCAAACAAAAAGAAAAAATGGAAATAAAGCCACAGGTTTCGACTGGTGCGTGGCCCTTCGCTCTTCCCGAAGGCATATGAGCGCCTCGCTTCAAACGCACTTGACGAGCATCTTTCCGTCTTGGAAGATACGGCCGCTGACTGTAGGTTGGACGGGCCTGAAGTCGCTCACTGACCCTGGGGTTAAAGCAGCGGAGCGGGCCTGTGCTATAGGAGCGGGAAAGTGACCGGCAAAGCTGCTGTGAGCGTCCGCGAGGCAGAGCTCTTTGCTGCGGCGATGCATGACTGCTGTTCAGCACCACTCCATGGGGACAGCTCCAACCTGCTCCTCCGGGCTGGATGTTTGCACTTACACTTAGTACTATCTCATTTAAGATTCCTATTTTCTGCTTCTAGCATTCATAGAGCAATGGTTTGGACAATGTCTCTAAAACTGCATGTTTTTGTTAGTGTTTTTCCTTTAAGCGGAATATCAGCCACTGTCAAGTTTCCCCTTCACTGTAAGTGGAGGCGTTTGACATGAATGTACACTATATTTATGGCTTTGACTAAAGCTGACCCTTTGACCATATTTAGTGTTTTACTTCTTATCATTTGGTTGTCAGTGTTTAGTCACTGTTCTTTGTGTTGTATTACAACTGTTTGGTTTATTACGATTGTGAGAGATATATCATAAATGGGAAATAAATATATTTGTATTACTGTACTGCTTTGTATTTTTATAACTGACTGTATATTTTACATGGATCACATTTGATCATCATTTTTATGGTGAAATGTATTCTAAGTCATTAATAATGTCTTGGTTTTGAGGGCTATTGTATAAGACAATATTTTAAATGTAATGATTTCATATCAGAAACATGTGGCACTTCATTCCATTGGTTGGTTTGATAATAGTACATGGGACTGCTGATGGACTTGTGAAATGGACCCGTATGTTCTCCATTTGAACAGATTGTACAGAGGTTTGTACAGAGCTAGAGGTACTAGCCCACCGCAAACATTGCTTTGGAGTAATGAGGTAGCACACATTGCTGCGAGGTGTGGACTGTCTGTGTTATGAAGAGTGGACGCTCTACACATGTTTCATGAGCAAAAAACATCAGAGACTTTGGTGAAACTGTCACCAACAGGGTACTGCAAAAAGTAATTCAAATCGCCTTAAGTTATATTAACTGTTAAAGTAAGATTTTGTACATATACTTTCTACAATTCTTGAAATTAATATTGATGTTGTTATTTTTATGAAAATTTATGAGCAAAATAAACATTTTCTGGAAACTTCACATCTTTTGCATTTTGTGAAAGTGAATGGACATTGTGATGATTCATGAGGCAGTGATCAGAGCAGTGAAACGAGCACGTCTGAGAACACGCTGTAGCCGGCCACCTGTGGCACCCTCTGGGGCCTAACTTTAGACTTCACAGCTCCTCCCACCAGGCTTTGACTCCAAGTCAATGGGCCCTTCTTCTGGCCTGCCTTTCACGCTGCACGCTCAGTAGGAAAAACCAGAAATACAGTCGTGGAAGCTGTATTAATCAGTTCTTATCAGTAAATATTCTGCATTAGGGGAAATAGTCATCTAACAACTTTACATTTACAGCTTATTTTGAATGTTTGAAATTTGCATCTTTTTGACTGCTTAAATATATATTTTTAAATAATGAGCAACGGGACATTTTAGAAGAAAACACAACATGAAATGTTTGATTTGAGTGTTGTTGGGTTAAGGCTTTAGAACAATATTCCTTCTTATAAGGTTATAACATTTATTTTAATATAAAAAATCCAACCAGCCAGAATCTGATTTTTGTGAGGATCTGATTGAATTGTTAAACGCCTGTGTTAGAATAATCTCCATTTTGAGAAGTTTAATTTCATAATGAACCATTACAAAATTCACTAAAAACATGGTCTTTTTTCGCTCCTTTTTCCCGGTGATGGTCGTCATGCCAAATGATTTCCAGGCTACAGTGAAGTCCAGACCGCTGGTTTTGACACTGAATGTTTGCGCTCTGCTCTTATCAAAGCCTGGAGCACCTCAGTGTAGTTCACCTATAAGAAAAAATTGTTTTCTTATTTGCTGGTATGGACAACACTTCACCGCTGCCATCATCTATGTCAAGTTCAAACATATAGAAAAAGCACAGGATAATACTGCACAAGTTTCGTCACAAAGTGTACACAGAAAATGACAGACAAGAATAAACTCTAACTGCTTCTCAAGACACTTTTTACTGTTCCAACAAACTGCCTGCGTACAGCAATGGGAATACTTCTGAATACTTATTTTGAGTAAATGTATTCTGATTACATTTTACAGATTACTTTCATGTGATGGTATTCAGAGTTATGTTCTTAAATTAAAAGGAATACATGGCGGTACTTAATCATGTCATTTTAGCTTTGTACTTCAAGTTATTAGTGAGGGGAAAAAACAACTCTTGCAATCTGTGCATGTGCAATTTTTCTTAAATAATTAGACATAAGCAACAGTGTGGCAAATTAAGCAGTTACTAACACTATGAAGTATTTTTTCAGCAAAAATGTATTGCAAGTTGGTGTAAACATATTCCAAGTATCAGAATACTGTACTCTGATTGAACTGTGCCTCAGGAACAAAATTTAATCTAAGTGCTGTGTGTATTTTTGGCATGTTCTAATTGTACTAATGTGACTACAGTTAATATTCGCTCATCTTAGTGTTTGTGTCATGTGTGAAGACTGAATGTTATTTTGCTTATGTCCTGTTTTTAGTCTTGCCATCAAACTGCCAATAAGACTACGGATGAAAATTTGCTTGTATGACTCCCTGTCACATTTACACGCTGAACTAAACATGTTGATTAAAGTGCATTTCCTATATTTAATACATAAACATAACTAAACCACTAAATAACTAACAATTAAACACATTTTCAAAGTATTCTTCCCATCTCTGTCTGGGCAATCCATGCGGGCAGGTTCAGACAGGCGTTAGAGTTACATGGAGCAGGTGATAGACTTAAATTTTGACTTAGACAAACTTTATTGATCCACAAGGGAAATTATTTTCACACAGTAGCTCACAGTATAATAACAAAGAGAAATCGTATAATAAATTCTGAATATGCCGCAGAAATAGCAAGAGACTGATGTCAAAAAAGGCATAATTATATAAATGTATATATAGTAAAGTAAAAATAAAATACAGCAATGTAGTAAAATAGATATATCTCAGCTCTATACATGAGGTCATAAAGATAAGAGTGCCAGGACATCGGGTTACATCTGTTACATAAGGGCGAGTTGTTGTACAGTTGTATGGAGTATTATCTGTTACTGTATCTGAGATGGTGGAGATGGTGCGTTCAGGGCTCCTCGTGACGTAGAGTGCTGGCACCACACACACCAGCTGGCCTGCGGGAGTGCGTAAGTGCCGACGTCCTCTGACAAACATACTGTAGCACATGGGGCCCTGTGGCAGTATGGTTCTGCTCTGTCCATCACCGATCGTACTATCAATAGCAGTAGTATCGTAAGAAGCAGGGGGCTGATTCAAGTAAACAACAATTTTTATTTCAGTTTTAGTTGTTGAGGAGTTTGTCACCTGCTTGTTTCTATGGATATGTCATTTCTCTGCCTGGAATGTTCCACAGTATGACATTAAACAGCTCTATTTTACATTTATTTAATTACAGATGGTTTTATAGCTCAAAAATAGCTACAAAAACATGCATTCTGACAGTGAGCGAAGTCGCCTCTCCACAGATCTGACCTGTAACTTGGTTTGGTAATGAAGATAGAAAGGTTTAATGCCATATTATGCAACATACAGGTCAGATCTGTGGAAAGGCAACCCCGCTCACAGTCAGAATGCCTGAATGTCTGTATTTTTGAGCTATAAAAACACCTGTAATTGAAAAAACATAAGGTAGAGTAGTTTAATGTCATACTGTGGAAGACAGATCGACAACATCTCCATAGAAAGAAGAAGGTGACGGACCAACAAAAAGTTATACAGTGCACCTTTAAGCAATGGAAATTTAGAAAATCAAACAGTGAAACAGTTTTGGGTCAAAACCAGGCAAGAAGATTAATCAACATTCATAGGAAATAAGCAAATGGATAAGTGTCCCAGAGTGTCCCCTGTCCTTAGATCCTCCCTCTCAGCAAAGAAAAATTGCAAAAAATAGGAATGTTATTGTTTTGGCTTTTCTTTTTCCCCTTCAAAGACTTCTGTTTTTGTTGATTTGGTATAAGTTTCTGTTGTTATTGTTTTTCAAAATCTTTGCATTGATTTTTTTTTTTAAAGCAGACCTATTATGCAAAATAGACTTTTGTGCTATGTTTATGTTGTCTTCACGAACCTAGGAAAATGGGTTTTTTTTTAGTTGAAAAAAAAAAACATTTTGTATTTATGTCGTCTTCACGAACCTAGGAAAATGTTTTTTTTTTTAGTTGAAAAAGGCATTTGTGCTCCGTTCAACAAGTCAAAAAAACAACACAGGAACTCAGGCCAAAACCTTCTGTACGACTTCAACACGTGACGTCACTACAGTGTGGAAATGGATGAAAAACAGCAGATTTTTCGGTTTATTTTAAATCCTGGATCTCATTATTATATTTTGGGCTTTACTGTCAGTTGTCCGTATCATAAGAGCAACAGATTTGTGCAAGAAGGACCTGACACAACTGTTTAAATACCTTTTGTTAACTGATGTAAAATTAAAACATTAACATTAAGCTTTTGAGAAGGCTAACAACAATAAATCTTATCAATTAGCTACATTAAACATGATCAATGATCAAACTCAATTATTTTATTATTGGCGCCAACAAAATCCAAACTTTACATGAAAAAAGCCCGAACATCTCATCTCTGAATCCTGAATTTAGCATCAGTGATTGTCCTTGGAAACTACAATCAGACTCTTCCCTGCACTTTTACATACAAGTGACACTTTGCTGTTGATATCATCAACATTCCATGATTGTGATGCTATCTGTAGGCACTGCTCTGTCTGAAACTCAACTCAAGCTTGATTTTAACACAATCTGATCAGAAAGAATTGACATAGTTGGAGCTACAACAGGTGATGTGATTTGAGCTGTTAAAAAAAGTCACTCTCAAAAAAAATTACAGGGACAAGTGAGCTAGCATCAGCCAACACTTTTTTTCAGCGAGCATCAGAATTGAACTGTTTCTTGAAAATGTGTTGTTAAAATCTTTTATTTTTTAATATTTGGAACTTCCACACCTGATGTCACCTGCTATGTGCAGATG